AAAAAAAAAAAAAAAAAAAAAAAAACCTAAAAGTAATATTCTAAAATAAAATACCTTATTAATGGAATATCATATTTTAAAAATAATACTTTAAGAACAAGATACTATATTAATGAAATATTATACTTTAAATACTATTATAAGAAATATTAATTAATATTTAAAACAAATGGAGAGCGTCTTTAATTCGAATGTATATGTTACAGGGAAATGTTAAAGCCCCGTTACGTACCATTTCGTGGAGTTTATTAAATCAACTATAACCGTATGAGTGACTTGGTCTCCAATGGAAGTAAATTCTCTGGACCAGCTCTGTAAATTTGTGAGTTTTCAAATCTCGATCATTCCTCGATTAGGTCTTTGCGAGTGCTCTCTCATTTTCTGTGTCTCTACTTTCTGCGATTTTTAATTCTATCTGTCGGCGAACTTCTTACTCTTTCTCAATTGCTGTTTGGTTTCCATTGAGCTCCAGCTAATTTCTACTGCGTTTCGGAGGTGCCGCATGTTAGACGACCCCTGCAGATTATCGATTGCTCTCACACCTGCGCCTCCTCTGCTTCGAATCTCAGGCACGTATGGCTATGTGTGTGCTTTTAGTTGAAGTAATTTAGAGCTATTGAAATCGGTGAACAACTATGAAAATAATGTGTGTGTGTGTGTGTGTGTGTGTGTGTGTACATAGTGGGTACAGATTCAATGGGGTAGAATGAAAACAGTTCACTGTGGTTGATCGATGGTACAGTTCAATGGGTACCCTTTTTTTGCTTCTTGTATGCGAATTTATGATATGGGGCTGAAACCGTCCCATTATGTATTGATTGAAAAATAAAAATGCATTTCAGATGAGATGCATGTCTTCTTTTACTACATATAGCTGAATTGTGATATTTTGGGTGCTTGCAGCTAATGGAATGAAATGAGTTTTTGTGACTGTTTGTATAGATATTAGTTGGATGGGAAAAAACGATGAGAGGTGTGAGTGGCTTAGAACGTCACAAGTATAATGGAACTGCAATGGAAATATGAGCACTCATGGATTACTGATTATGATCCTGAATTTTTATTTCAATAGTTTCTGATACGGGC